AGGTGACAATCTCCAACAGGCTAGTGTCTTCACCCTGCTGCATTGTGACTAGCACCTACGGCTGGACAGCCAACATGGAGTGGATCATGAAAGCCCAGGCCCTTCGGGACAACTCTACGATGGGCTATATGATGGCCAAGAAGCACCTGGAGACCAACCCTGACCACCCCATCGTGGAAACGCTGCGGCAGAAGGCCGAGGCGGACAAGAACGACAAGGCAGTCAAGGACCTGGTGGTGCTGCTGTTTGAAACGGCTCTGCTGTCTTCCGGCTTCTCACTCGAGGATCCCCAGACTCACTCCAACCGCATCTACCGCATGATCAAGCTAGGTCTGGGTGAGTACCTTTGTTACCAGGGCCAGGCAAGGAACCGGGGAGCTGGTCTCACAGGGACAAATTGGACTTCGTGGTATTTGGATCAAAGTTGACATGCCATTTTTTTCTACTTCTAGGCATTGATGAAGATGAAGTGACTGCAGAGGAACCCAGTGCTGCTGTTCCTGATGAGATCCCCCCCCTCGAGGGTGATGAGGATGCCTCTCGCATGGAAGAAGTAGATTAGTTCTACCTGCAGACCTTGTGCCCTCTGTATAGTGTCCCCATGGCTCCCCAGCAGCCCTGAGTGGCCCCGGTTCACCTGGTTCCCTCTGCTGATGTCTAGTGGTTTTTTTCTCTCTTGGTCCTGTCTTTGAGGCAGGAAAGAAGGCCCTCAAGCCCTGTCCCTTCCGATATTTGACGGGGTTTGGATGTGTATTGTGGGGTTCTTTTTTGTTTATTTTGTTCTGAGATTAAAGTATGCAAAATAAAGAAGATACAGTTTTATACAGTTATGCTCTCCCTTGTAAAGTGGATCTCATGCTGCCTTTTGAGTTTCCTTAGCTTCTCTAGCCCAAGTTGAACGTGCTGTTGTTCTGAGGATAGGTATTCCTGGTACACTGAAAGGGTCACCGGTAGCCACTTGGCACTTTTGAAAATCTGGGTACCCAGCATTGACAGTAAAGGGTAGCTTCAAACTAGCAGGTATGATGCCCTTTCAGTGCCCTTCCTAAAGCATACGCCTCAGTGAGCCAAAACACACGACTTCAGCCCATTGCAGCAATTTAATTTAATAAAATAAAATTATAAGAGCAAAATTACATTTCCAAAGTACCAAAACCTGCAACTGGCTCTTGGAGCAGAGCCTAGGGATCCAGGAGCGGAGAGGGTGGTGTCACTGGGCAGGGCTCTCCCATCCCCCTCCTCCAGCACAGCACCATCTTTCACGGACTCCTGGGAAAGCAGCACTTGGAGCCTACAACACTTGTGCTTTTCTCCCCAGAGTAAGAACTGTAGGTCCCTGGGAGGGAGTCTGCAAGGGTGGGCTACTCAGGGTAGGGGACAAGCACAGGTGAGGTGCTGGGAGTCCACAGGGCAAGACTTCGGGGAACGTGAGGGGGTGGGGGCTTCGGAAGGCTTCTGCCTTCTCTGCGCCCCTGCACGCCGAGGACGGTCCTCAGAAGAATCCCTACTAGAGAACAGGGGACTTAAGGCAAAGGGGAAGGCTGCCTCTTGGACTCAACCCCAACTTGTAGAGCTGGTTGGAGATACTGAGGAAAAACCCTGCCTTCTGCCCTCGAGCCAACCGCCTCCGAAGTTACAGTAGGAGAGGAAAGTTGGTATGGTGAGGGTCTTGTTCCACTTCACCCCCTGGGCCCCTCAAACTTTCTGCACAGGAGACTCGACAGGCACAGCCTTCTTAACCCGTTGCTTTAGACGGCCCCGGGCATAGACTCTGAGCAGGAGGGCGGCAAAGACCACAGCCACCCCCAGGCCCCCCACCACAGTGACCGTGTGGCCGTAGAGCAGGCAGGAGAGGAGGATGGCGAAGGCCTGGCGGAGGGTCATGATGATGGTGAAGATGGCAGCCCCAAACTGCCCGATGGTGTAGAAGATGAAGAGCTGACCGCATGCGGAGCAGACCGAGAGCAGCAGGGCATGTGCAGCAAATTCACTGTGTCGCCCCATGAAGCGCGTTCCCTCCAGGAGGGCCCCCTGCTCTAGCAGGGAGCCCACCGTGAAGAGGCAGGAGAAGAGGTTGACCCCAAACATCATCTGCACAGAAGACATCTTATAGGCAAACAGGGCGTCCTGCCAGTTGGAGGTGAAGCTGTCAAAGGCAATGTAGCCTGCCAGCAGGATGAGGCCTGCCAGCGTGGTGGCGGGGGAGCTGCGGGGCTCGGGGCCGCTGGACAGCAGAAACATGCTGACCCCGATGGAGATGAGGCCGGCTGTCAGGTATTCCCAGTGTTCGTAGCTGCGCCGAGACACCAACTTGCCCATCAGCATGACCGGGATCACCTTCGAGGCCTTGGCCAGCACCTGGGTGGGGAAGCTGACGAACTTGAGCGCTTCATATTGACACCAGCTGCTAAGCACATTTGACAGGCTGGCAAAGGAGTACCGGTACATGGGGGCCCCGTGGCGGGGTTGCTTGCAGAGGACGCAGGAGAGGCCGGCGACGATCAGTGCCAGCACTCGGTTCATGAGCACCAGGAACTGTGAGTCTGTGAAGCGCTCACCTGGCGACGTGGCAGTAGCCCCGTAGCTGCGGGTCATCACTCTTTCCTGCAGCACTCCCCAAGTCAGATAAGACACCTGGGGGCGGGGGGGCGAGGCCCGGGGAGAAGATAAGCAAGAGAAGGGAAAGATGAGCAAAAAAGCATCCAGACAACCTCCCTCTTCCTCAGACGGCTCAAGGATTTAAAGGACGGCATATGGATTTTGGTCCCTCTGTAGTAACTAGAAGTTTCCTCTCCCCTCCCAAGCCTGCATTCACCTCGGAGAGAATCAAGTGTGTGTGAAACACAACGACAAGTGCTTTAGGACTGTCCAGACCCTGTGTGCCCCACACAAGGTTATGTTAAAGCTGACTCCATCCCAGGTCATCTTCCTATCTACTCTCAATTCAGGGAGTAAAAAGACGGGACACCTGTTCAGCATGCACAGAACTAGCAGTGCCCACTCCAAAGTGCCAAGAGCTCCGCATCCTAACTCCTTCTCACATGGAGTGGGGGAAGGCTGAACGGCTTCCCCAAACTTCGATCAGTGGGTTAACATACACAAGACACATCATTGCAGGGGAAAGTGTAGTAACAGCCCAGAAGACATCACAGACAAGAGGAGAGAAAAGACAGCATGTCCTCCAACCACTTCTAAGATGATGATGGCACAGCGTGCCCCTGGGAGGAGGGGGCCACGTAACACACTAGGCCAGGAAACTGTTGGGACCGTGCAGTCCCTGTCCACCGGGACCCAACCCAGGAACAGAAGCAGAGCCCGTGGGCCTACCTACCTGGAGCCCCGCAGCACAGAAGAGCAGCTTCAGGGCTTGCCAAGTGGGAGTGGTCTCTACCGGCTCCGTCCGGGAAGCCAGAGGAACCTCGTCAGAGGCCTTGGGCTCATTGCCAAACACACAAGTTTTCACCAGGGGGAAGCAGAGACCCCTGCCTAAAAAAGACACACAAGGTCAAGATCTCATCTTCCCTCCAGCACCTCGTCTTCCCCAGAGCAGCCAGCTACCCGGCTGTCAGGCCTGCAGGTCTCCCTCCCTCCCTTTCCAAGCCACATCCCTATCTGGACGGCTGCTCAGCACTCATAAAACGGACTGAGCACACTAACCCACCCTTTCCGCACACACCTGTCTCCAGGTAGTTCTTCCGTCTGAAGTACTGCACCATCAGGTAGCCGGGTACCATAAAGCTGGCATAGCCAGCAGCATTCACCAAAAAACGGAAGAACCATAGCTGCGTCCATGACTCTGGAGGGGCTTCGGGGGTCTCCCCACCTGCCCCCAGGGAGGGGAGCGCGGCCAGCACCACCACTGCCCACCACCTGCGGGACAGCGGACGTAAGGATTAGGGTGCAGATCCTAGTGCACTCGGCCCTCCAGAGGGGACTACACTGGAGGAGGGCCCGGAGTCTCCCCGCCCCCCTCAGCTGCAGCCCAGCCCGGACAAAGAGCCTCTCTCTCTCCTGGGAGGGGGGGGGCGGGGGCGGCGCGGGCCAGGCAGGGCTCCCTCCCTCCCCGGGGGCGGACCCGCCCCTCTGACCACACAGGTTCCCTCTGTTCCCTCCAGCGCTCGCCGGCCGCTCGGGCCACAGGCGGCGCCCCCTCTTCCCACCCCGCCTTCCAGGATCCGGGAGCGCCAGGGTTCCCAACTCCTCCGCCCGACACTCCCGGACCCTGGCCAGGAGCACAAGTCCACGCCGCGCCCCCCTCTCCCTGCCGGCTCCGGGCCGCAGCGGTCGGCCGCCCAGCAGCTGGGACCCCACCCCGGCCCCTCCGTGCCCAGCAGCAGCAGTCACGTGGCCCGGGGGCTCGGTCACGTGGGCCCGCCGCTCCCCTAGCCCCCCACCTGGCGTCCATGGTCCGGGCCGCGTGGGGCGGAGGGGGGCCGGGGAATGCGGTCCCCGGGCCGCGCGCTCCC